GGAAGAATAAAAGTCAGCAAAAAGCTGCAAAAAAAAGTTAAAAATAAATCAACAAAATGATGATAAACATCTTTTTAATACAAAATTATTTTACCTTTAAACTCTTCTTGGTAATAGTAAGGCCAATTTTGAATTCATCCCCTGAATTTCCAACAAAAAGCTTTTCATAATCTTCTGGTTTTGGGTTTTTCTTAGGTAATGTGAGTTCATGGCCAGTAAATTCCTCAATAAACCTAATTTTGTTAATAACATTTCCCTTATCTTCTTTGAAAAGGCTATTAATTATAAAATTAACAATTCTATAGGCTGAATCTCGGAATGGAGCCAAGATAAGCACCTGCAAATAAGAAATACTACTATATAAAAACTTGTATAAAAAAATATTAAAACATATTTCTTACAATACATTCAAATAAAATAAACTTTATTTAGCAATAATTTATATATCTTCTTACCTTTGGTCTCACTAAGCCTTGATCACGAAATTCTTCAGGCACATCACCTCTTTGTGTCAATTTAGCATTGTGATGCAGTATTTTAGATCTAGTTTTCAAAATATGATTTACAGCATGCAAACAATACACAAACCTAATTTCTTCACCGTTTTCTAAATTTCTTTTAGGATAATAAAAATCTTGGTAATTGTTAATAATAGAGAATATTTCAATTTGTAAAGGGGTGAAAAATGAATTGCTTTCTGTTCCTTGTTTTAAAGACATATTTGCAGTATGTATGTTGTTTATAATTTGAGGTTTTATAAATGTATTGTCAGCATATTGATCACTTGGTTTAATTTTTGTAGGAATTTTGCCCATAGGGGCAAAGAGTTTATTCTCTCCTAAAACCAAATAACTTTGATTTTGTAATTGTTCAAACTCAGGAATTTGTATTTTCAATGTTCCTATTTCTTTCCACTCAACTTCTTTCATTACAGAAGGGACAGGATTTTTTTGCAATGACTCTAATAATTTCTCAGATAAATCATATAAAAGGTGCTCTGAAAAAGAGTCCTTAGCATCTACAGACATATCATCTTCTACTGGAATTTCAGTTTCTATTTCTTTTTTCTCATCCACATCACTGTCATGCAACACATTTGACTTAATATCTACATCTTCAGGAAAGTCTTCAGTAACATTCTCTTCTAAGTGACTCAAATAACCCTCACTTGCATCACTACATTCTTCTTCCAAATCTGAAGAATCAGAGTCTATAGCTACATTTTTCTTTATTGAATCTTGATTTAATGCCATTAAAAGTTTTTGCATGTGGTTTTCTTCTTCCTCGCTTTCAGATGATGACTCTTTTTCAATTGGGGGCACAAATTTCTCAATTTTTTGGCGTTTTCTATCAGGTTCTTCTCGTTTATGATTTTCATGTTGCTCTCTTTTTGCATTTTTCTTGTCAAATAAACTGTAGGTTTTCTTTTTCTTATGATTTTTTCCTGCAAATTTTTGTCCTTTTCCTCGTTTCCCTTTAAATTTACTTTTTCCTCGTGCCATAATAGAAAACACTCAAATCCTAACCAAACATTATATTAATCAAAACAGTTCCAAGGATGTTAGACACTACTATAGAATGCAACAGTTCAAATATTCTTGCGATACATTTGAACTATTGCACGAGGTCTATGGTACAAACCAGAACACAGACCAACTTTTACCTGCTGTGTTAACTGTGTTAATAACAACATTAATGTTACTTTTTAAATAATCACATTTTCCTACACATAGATACTTAGTAAATATAGTAGGTACTTCCATATAATAAGTTAATTATAAAATAAAAACTAAATAAATAAACTTGCAGAGATGCCACTAGGATATAAAAAGTACACGGTCATTTTTCTGTTAGTAATTACCTGGTAGAGACCTTTACATACGTACATCACAATTGGTTTTTCATTATTGGATTTTTCTAATTAACTACCTTAATTCCCGCGAGCACTAATAAACCNCATTTAAATGAAATGAGGCTTTAAATTATATAAAATATAGCTGTTTTTCTTCAATAAAGAATTTCCAATTTTTAAAAAATAAAAAAGTATCTATAAACCACTAAATGCCTTTAACATTTAAGTATTTTTTTAATTATCTTAAAAAAGAAATGTAACTAAAGTTTTTGATTTTTAACTTGATTTTTGGAAAATAGTTTTAAAAATCCGCCAATTTTAGGAAATACATTTTAAATTTTTTGAAATTATTATTTTATTGTTTTATGAACAACAAAATAAAATTAGTCACACCTTACTCTTCTAACAACTAAATAGAATTCATATGAATATGTTTTCGTATAAATATATCGATATAAGGTATTTCTTAATTAACTCGCGCAAACATAAACTAAGTTGGCTTTGAAAAATTCTAATAACTTACTAGTATCTGATTGGTTGTTGCAAATCTCCCAAGATCCTCTTGCTTCTTGACAAACGGAATGGTAACACGCATTTGGGTTTTCTTCACAATTAATGTAATAATTTTCAGTAAAAATTAAAAAACAAACGACAATAATCATCAGAAAGTGTACCAAAGTTGCTGCTTTATAGTAGGTAAGCATTTTTTGGTAGGATTAAAATAATTTTTCCGTTTTTGTCTGCGAATAATCATCTACGTAAACTACGCCATGCTAGTCAAGTATTAAAAAAAATGACTGTCGGTAACCAAAATTTACTTCATTATGAAAACTACCAATTTTCACTAAAATTAAATAAGTAAGTTTCTTATTGTTAATTAGTTGTCTTAAAACGAAATGTTTCAATAATGCCTCTTCTCATTGTCTGGGATATTTGCCCTTTTGTAGACAGACATAAATTAAATTACTGGTATTTAATTTTTTGCTTAAATGGAACAGTGAAATGTTAGTAATTACCTGGTAGAGACCTTTACATACGTACATCACAATTGGTTTTTCATTATTGGATTTTTCTAATTAACTACCTTAATTCCCGCGAGCACTAATAAACCCCGCCGTCACTTTAATTAGATGATTAGGTACCTAATATCTAATATCGTGAAANCTAATTGTTTTTTATTAAATAATACAGTTAAAACATCACGCAGCTGTAGGGAGTTGTATCCCACTTATTAGAAAAAAGTTGAATATTACAATTTTTAGCCACCCTACATTAAACATTTACATACAGGGTGAGTTAATTAAGGCAGCAGTAGTCCGTAAATACAGTACCTGCTTAGGTACTAACATATTTTGTCCATGAAAAGTGACATGTATTATTTATGTTTAATAAAAGTTTGATATCTTTTTTACTGTTTATTCATTTCTTTTTAAAGCTATTTTGATCTATTTTAAAATACATTTATTAGAACATACTGTATAACTGAAATTATGTTTAAAATGCAGTGTCTATTCATGTTTCTCAATAACTTTTGAATTTATTTGTTTATTACTTTTTAACAATACCTGTAGGCAGTACGGAGCACCACGGTCTTCACCCTGTATAAAACTATACGCGGTCAAAATAATACAATCCTGAGTATTGATTTTTCAAATCTAGGACGTACTTCTGGATTTAAGTACAATAAAACGAAAAAAAAATGCGTTATCCCGGATACCTAAATAACTTCCACAATGTTAACCTGCGCCCAAATTTGCTATTCAGTCTAGCAGTGGGAAAGTCCGAGTTCCTCCACACAACCATACACAACTGAGGTACAAGAATAGAAGACAATTCAACATTTTATAAATAAAATTCCTGAGACTGGGCAGTGTTGAACAGCTAAAAGCAACCAGTGCGAATAATACAGAATAAAAGTGAAAATGTCCTGCAAATCTGCGACTGGTAACAGTGTGAAAAGTAACAGTAATTACGACCCCAATCATTGGGGTAGAGCTCCTAGTACAGACATGAATGTAAAGTTCGCTGGGGAGGAGGCCAAAGATCGAATGTACGAACCAAAAGAAAAAAAGAAGTTAGTGAGGGTTTTGACCGTTATCGCCTACATATTTTTCGTATCCCTTGCAGCTATTATGCTCTCTTTGTACTATGTTTTTATATGGAAGGGGTCTCAAAGAGATTTTTACAAACCTCGGACTTTTGTTGTTACACTGCCCACCAAGTGCTCCCATGGTATGTTTTTTTACTTTCTATTTGCCATATCACATTATTGAATAAATATTTTTTTTATAAAATCTAAACTTTTACTTGACCTATCTACAATTGCAAATATCAACCCCAAAACATCCCTAATGCATTTCTGCAACATATAGTATTGTTCATTTTTATTCTTTTTTTAATAAAACCATTCTGGAATTGCTTTGTAATAAACTTTCAAAAAATTTTTGCTGCATATACCATCATTTCTGCATTTATTAATTATTTTGTTTTTGCAGTAGCAGATGCTGAACCCGAAGCCGAGGCTATTGTAGAGTTACCCAGAGACATGGAGTCACCAATAATTCAGGAAAATTTAAGCGAAAAAAATAAATCACGCATCATCTCATCTTTTGATCGAAAGGCTGAATTTTCAAAACCCGCGGTCTATTTCGATAAATTTTTCCGAATGAGGCGAGATAAATTCCGAGCAACATGAAAAAGATTGATGACATTGCAATCAAATCTGAAACGGAATTATATTGAGCTGAACAAGATGTTGACGAAAGTATTTCGTAGTCGTACGTCAAAATTTGAATGGAATAAATTAACTGATATTTCATTAATGAATTAACTACTTACAGATTTTTGTAAAATAGACTGCACAAAATGTGATACCTTTTGCTGCATTTTATAAAATATTAAGTAGTCGAAAATTTGTAGTTTATGTACAAAATATTAGTTAAGTAGAATTTATATTAATGTTTGCTAATTGTAGTACAATGTTATCGTACGGACTGAAATATAAACACGAATGCGATATTATATATTCTATTCACGCACTTAATATTAATTACATTTTTAAAAAAATACTCTTTAAACATACATACATATATAATATATATACGTATTCTTTAAATTGGTTGTAGGATGAAACTGTGAGAATTGTAATTAATATAAACGCAATAATAAATTCCTTTGATTGTTTATATTGTGGCATTTAATTACCTATCCATAAAGAAATTTACAATATTTTTTTGCGTTGAGTATGTTTATTCTTTAATGAGATAAGAGAAGTACGCAGTCGTGCAAAACGCATGCAGCCGCCGCGACGCCCCTGCGGCGCCCAAATCATATGTAACTATAACAGATAAACACATGGTTCAAAACTGAAACAGTTGAACCAAACGCGGTGCTCAAAAACACAACCAATTCCAGTTAGAAAAAGTAATTTATTTTTTGGTACCTAACGCAATTTCTGATAAACTATGTGATCAAACATGTTCCAGAAGGAACTTTTACGGTAAGGTAAAGTAAACTACAATTCTTTTTATTACATCTAAATTGTTATTATATATAATATTCTTGAATAAAATCAATTAGAATGTTTTTATGTTTTTACAAAAACAATTAATTATTTAACATA